GGAGTGTTCCTCTTTCTCCACATCCTTTCTAGCATAAACTGTCATTGGTATTTTTGATTTTAGCCAGGAATATTTGTTTTAAAAGGTACTAGCCTATAAGCCTGCCTGAGGTGTCCATGTGTCTTAGACACACCTAAAAGGGATACTTTTATTAGCATGATCCAGTAGAGGCTGCAGCATTGGGAGACTGAATTCCCATTCCCGTCCTTATCTTGGTGGTGGCCACAGGCTGTGACTACTGTCTGTTGTAACACAGCACATAAATTATCTGGTGAGGCCACTGAGCAATATCTGTGCATGTCCTTGAGTGCTGAAACTATTAGATCTACAGAAATGTGGTGGTGTCAACTGATCATTTCATTCCTGAAACCTTGTCATTGTCAAAAACTTAGAAAGTCCAAGAAGGAGACTGAGTTGTTTGGAGCCAGTGTTGTTCATTCTACTCTCACTGCAGCTCAAAAGGCTCGACTGACTGAAAGTCTGCTGTGGTGTGGATGGACAAGGCACACGGAGCTACCGACAGTCAGTGGAAACCATTTTTCATTGGTTCTTCCTTTCCTTATCTCATAGGTCCAACCGAAGTCAGGACTTGGTGTTAGAAATGGTGAGTGTTCCTTCCTGAACGGCAGCTCGAAAGCTGACATGCATCGGCAGGGCTCCAGGCTGAACTCTGTTTCCACGCAGAGAACCTTAGAGCCACGGAGCCGGAGGAGCAGGAGTCGGAGATACAAAGCACATTCCCTGGAGCTTCCACAACCCTGTGGGACATCGGAAAACTCGAGTGACCCTTTGTGGAGAAGCCCTGGCTGGTGCTCCCTGGCTGACAGCTCAGCCGCAGGCATGCAGCAGTACCGCCTGTCTATCCCCATAGAACCTGAGATGAGGATGAAGGTCCTTAAGGAAAACAGCTTCCAGAAGCTTGAGGCAGAGACAAACGTTGACACTGGCTTCACCATCATCAATTCCAAAGCCAGGCAATCTTTTCTGCGCAGATTTCCCAGGGATTTTCAGAGCAGGCAGCCACCATGCCGCTTGTCAGGATCTTCCTTCGAAGTGACCGCTTCCCCAAGCCAAAGAGTCTTTCAGGAGAGACTCTGTCCTCTGCCACTTCCGGGTCAAAGGGACTATGGTGTAAAGGAGAAAAACTCAAAATGTTCCTATCGTCGTCCTGTCCAGGATGAAGAGAAAGAAGAATTCTTCATATAGCATAGAACCAACATGTCTCTCTAAGATGCTAAGATCAGATAGAATGTTCTAGAAATGAAGCATTGTATTAGTTACCCTTCTCATTGAAATATCTAACAAAAGCGACTTAAGGAAAGGTTTGTTTGACTCACACTTTGGTGGGAAGGTCCATTCATGGCTGGGAAATCATGGAAGTGAGAGTGTTAGGCAACTGATTGTATACCTTTACAGTCACATAGCGTGGGTCGGGGTGGGTGGGGGGATGCTGAGGCTCGGCTTGCCCTTTCTTTGTGCCATCTGGGACTCTGGCCCATGGGTAGGTGCTGCCCACTTTCAGGGTGAGCTTCCTTCCTCAGGGAAATCTTTCTGGAAACATCCTTACAGATGTACTCAGGGGTGAGTTTCCATGGGGACTCGAAATCCAGGTAGGTTGACATTGAAGATCTACAAACACTGATCCGGGATCATCCAGTTTCTTGCTTGTCTGAGAGGGCCCCAGGCTCTCCATGCACAGGTTCATTTGCTTTCACTTCCAGTGTTAGAAGTCCGTGGGGAGCGGACAATTTGCTGGCTCTCTGGAAGAGAGTACAACCAGGCAGAGGAAGAAAGCCCAGTGCCTGAACTTCTCAGTGGCACACTAACCCAGTTGCATTTGTTGGTTCAGCACCTATCAGAACACTGACATAGTATGCAAATGTATTAGATGTGTTATGTTATGCACATCTGATTAGTGTGTGTAATACGGTTTTAATTTATACTTGAGGTTGCATAGAGCTTATCCCCCCCAGACAGTGTGAACTATTTATTCTTTAGTGCTTTTTAATTTTTATGTGACCTCCTTTGGTAAGTAGGCCCTGTTTACCACATACCCTCTTGTGGTTTTGCTTTTAAAGTTCTTTGCATCTGAAACCAGTAAAAATGTAATGTTTTAAACATTATAACCCCTCCCCAGTTTAATTAGTAAAAATACCAGAAGTCAGGAAGCTACGTTAAAATGAATGCTAGACTTTGAGATGTTCCCACTCTTCTATTTCTCATTTGTTTATGCCCTACTCCAAAGAGGGCAGCACTTCTTGTTAAGAAACCAAGGAAGCCACGGAATAATTAGAAAATTCCCGATCTCCACTGATTGTGGCAGAGAGGTTGTGCTAACTGAGTCACAGACACAGTGAACTAAATGTGTTTTGGGGGTTCCCGGGGGTTTTCTGCAATTCTTATTTATTCATTTATATGTTCACTCAATAAATATTTCTGCATGCCTTAAGTATTTATAGAGATGATACTTAGACATTTTGTGGCCATCAAACCCAAAAGGTAGTAATGGTTTTGCAACTTCGATAATCTACTGAACCAACTCTTTGAAAAGGTGTTGAAGTTCAAACTTACTCCACCATCCAGGTCTGATGCCTTTATATTTGCCAGATAAAGAGGCACTGTCTTAGTTACTTGTCTTGTTGCTTTGATAAAATACTACAACAAAAGCCAGTTAAGGAAAGGAGGGATTTCTTTGGCTGACAGTTCCAGGTTGCAATCTATCATGGCAGGAGGCTCATGGTGCAGGAGTTTGAGGTCTCTAGACATATTGCATCTGCAGTGAGGAAGCAGAGTGATGGGCGGGGCTTGGAGGCTGCCTTTCTCTTTGTCAGTGCAGGGATTACCCACCCACTTTCGGGCTGATTACTCCCATCTCAATTAACCTGGTCAAGATTATCCCTCCCAGGCAGGCCCAGAGGCATGATTCTTAGTCCCTTTCTCTTTGTCAGTGCAGGGATTACCCACCCACTTTCGGGCTGATTATCCCTCCCAGGCAGGCCCAGAGGCATGATTCTTAGTTATTCTAACCCTATCATGCTGACAATATTAACCATCCCGTGAGCATTGGTAGTCTGCAAGTGGATACTGAATATTATGAAGTTTATAGTCTTGAAATCATAGTCACGAGGGACACACACATTCTCTGTTGCCCAAATGCTGGAGTTTGGGGATTAGGTATGCACTCATGATTAAAAATAAACAGAGGCTGTTAGTGCCTGTGCTACTGGTTGTTCTGTCCAGGAAGTTGTATCCTGTGCCAATGCGTTCAAGATTACTTTTCACTTGCTCTTCTATCAGGTTCAGTGTATCAGGATTTATGTTGAGTCTTTGATCCACTTGGACTTGAGCTTTGTGCAGAGTGTTAGGCATGGATCCATTGGCATTCTTCTACGTGCAGACATCCAGTTAGACCAGCACCATTTGTTAAAGACACTTTCTTTTTTCCATTGTTTAATTTTGGCTTCTTTGTCCAAAATCAGATGTTCATTGGTGTGTGGATTTATGTATGGGTCTTTGATTTGATTCCATTAACCCACCTGTCTGTTTTTATGCCAATACCCTGCAGTTTTATTACTGTACCTCTGTAGCAGAGCTTGAAATCAGGGATGGTGGTACCTCTGGAAGTTCTTTTATTGTACATGATTGCTTTAGCTTTCCTTGGTTTTTTGTTTTTCCATATGAAGTTGAGTATTGTTCTTTCAAGGACTGTAAAGAATTGTGTTGGGATTTTAATGGTGATTGTGCTGTATCTGTAGATTGCTTTTGGTAAGATGGCCATTTTTTTCTATGTAAACCCTACCAGTCCATGAACATGGGAGATCTTTTCATCTTCTGATATTCTTCAAAGACTTGAAGTTTTTGTCATGCAGGTCTGAAACTGGAGGTTTCTCTCCACCTGTCAGTTCCCCAATAACCATTCCGAGGCAATGTTAATTATAAATGTTTGGCTGATGGCTCAGGCTTATTACTAGCTAGCTCTTGTATTTAACCCATTTTCTATTAATGTAAGTATTGCCATGTGGCCATGGCATTATTAGTCTGCTGGCATGTTGTTCCTTGGGCAGCTGGATGACCTCTCTCAGACTCCACCCTTCTTCACTTGTGTCTCTGCTTGGATTTCTGACCTGGCTCTATCTTCTACCTTGCCATAGGCCAAAGCAGTTTTATTTACCAACTAATGAGAGCAACACATATTCACAGCATACAGAAGGACATCCCACATCACAGGTCTTTCACTTGCTTGGTTAGCATTATACCAAGAAAGGATTGTAGGAGCCAGAGGGGTCAAGGACACCATAAGAAAACTCACAGAATCAGCTGACCTGGGTTCACAGGGGCTCACAGAGACTGAACCAACAACCAGGGAGCTGCATGGGACTGACCTAGGTACTCTGCATATATGTTACAGTTGTGTAGCTTGGTCCTCTTGTGGGACTCCTAACAATGGGCATAGAGGCTGTCTCTGACTCTTTTACAGGTTTCTGGGACCCTACTCCTCATACTGGGTCACCTTACACAGCCTCAATGCATGGGGAGGTGTTTAGTCTTACTGCCATGTTTTGTTGATACTCATAGGAGACCTGCCCTTTCCTAAACAGAAAGAGAGTAGATTAGAGTGGGAACAGAGGGGGTCGGTGGGGGGAGAGCCTGGGAGAGGAGGGAGGGGAAACTTTGGGATGTTAAATAAATAAATAAGTGTATAAAAAATGGAAGCTGGAGAGATGTCTCAAGGGAGCTTGCTGCTTCCAGAGGGCACACGCTTGGTTCCCAGCACCCACACTGGGCAGCTTTACAGCTCCCTGTAATTCTGGCTCTGTGGGATCTGATTCCCTCTTCTAATCTCCACAGGAACATGCATGCATATGGTATACATTCACACAGACACACATACACATAAAATAAATATTTTAAAAATATTATGTGACCATCATTCTCTTGGATAGGTGTAATATGAGAATATACATGCTTATTTAACTGCAACCTTTTCATCTCCTCTCCCTAATTCCCTCCCTCCCTTCCTCTTTCCTTCCTTCCTTCCTTCCTTCCTTCCTTCCTTCCTTCCCTCCTTTTCTTCCAGGGATGGAAGCCAGGGCCTTAAGGATGCTTATGAGGCAAGTGATCTTCTAGGTGGTGCACTCCCAGGCCCCAGCTAGATCTGTCAAAACCTGGAACACTTACACCCAACTGGAGAGAGAGCCTAGCTGAGGCACAGAAAGGTCTAGTGGAAACGTGTGCAGTCTGGGTCTGTGAGCTCTGCTGAGAACACGAAAGAAGTGAGGAGAATTGCAGATGGATAGCGACAGGAATTCTGAATTGATTTTTTTTCTGTCCATTAAACATCAAAATAGTCTCATTGTATTTTCTCCCTACCTCACAGATTAAACTTTGATCTTAGAAAATAGTGTGAGGGACTTAATGTTGGTACGACTTTCTATAACAAAGCCTTTTTCAAAAACCTAATTTCAGTTGAACAATTGAGTTGCCTATGAAAGCACAGCAGGGAGAAGTTTTAAATTTTCCTTCTACTTTTTGATGTTATCTCAATTTCTTTAACATAAAATATGGTTGAGGATATGAGTCCATGGAAATAATAAAGAATATTGAGAAGTTCAAATATGCACCTTACAAAATTGGCTTATAAAATAATGTACTCTTAAAATGTCACCCACTCTCTCCGAGTCAGTGTAAGAATCCAATTTACATTATGGGATGGAAATGTCAGTGGAGCAGGTTGGGATTTAAAATTCTCTATATATGTGACCTTGAACACTGTGGCTCTCCGATCCTCTGGTGACTTACCTACTGTAACAGAGGTTGTTAGAAAGAAGCCAGGTAACATATATGAAAATATCTGATGTTATTAAGTGCTGTAAATGCAGAAGAATTTTTATTATTTTATTATATTTTATAGTTTGCTATATATTTTAGTATTAATGGGATTGGTCCTTCAGGCCCACAGTTTAAAAATGTTATGAGACAAAAATTATTTTATGAGATAAGTTTTAGTAAAATCAATGAGATAGTAAAAAAAAAATGACAAATTTACCTGATTATTTTTTCAAACTATCTATGCTATTTGTTTTACCTAACAGGAAGATGACATATAATAAATAACAAAATACATCATAAAGTTTGATAGATTATATCCAACAGAAAAAGTTATGATCTGAGGGTGATGTTGTTTGCCTACAGTCCTAGCACTTTGGAATGAAAACAGAGCCATGGCTCACACCGAGTTTTCTGTTGATTAGAAGTCTGTAAGTTTCATTACCTGTCACAGACCATCTTTACGTGTTCCAGAAACAACTCAGGGCTGTCTGCCTTTCTGGAACCTTCCCTCTCCTCTCCTTCCTGTTCTTCCTTCTCTCCAGCCATTACTCTTTTTTTCCTTCTATTCATCCCCTCCCTTCCTTCCCTCTCCTTCTTCTT